AGTTATGGCCATTTTAAAATATGGATTAATTCACACTTAAAAAAGTGATCACAAATAATAGCTAAAAACGCTCTAAAGTCAATATTTAAGGAGTTATGGCCATTTTAAAATTTGGATTAATTCACACTTAAAAAAGTGATCACAAATAATAGCTAAAAACGCTCTAAAGTCAATATTTAAGGAGTTATGGCCATTTTAAAATTTGGATTAATTCACACTTAAAAAAGTGATCACAAATAATAGCTAAAAACGCTCTAAAGTCAATATTTAAGGAGTTATGGCCATTTTAAAATATGGATTAATTCACACTTAAAAAAGTGATCACAAATAATAGCTAAAAACGCTCTAAAGTCAATATTTAAGGAGTTATGGCCATTTTAAAATATGGATTAATTCACACTTAAAAAGTGATCACAAATAATAGCTAAAAACGCTCTAAAGTCAATATTTAAGGAGTTATGGCCATTTTAAAATATGGATTAATTCACACTTAAAAAAGTGATCACAAATAATAGCTAAAAACGCTCTAAAGTCAATATTTAAGGAGTTATGGCCATTTTAAAATTTGGATTAATTCACACTTAAAAAAGTGATCACAAATAATAGCTAAAAACGCTCTAAAGTCAATATTTAAGGAGTTATGGCCATTTTAAAATTTGGATTAATTCACACTTAAAAAAGTGATCACAAATAATAGCTAAAAACGCTCTAAAGCCAATATTTAAGGAGTTATGGCCATTTTAAAATATGGATTAATTCACACTTAAAAAAGTGATCACAAATAATAGCTAAAAACGCTCTAAAGTCAATATTTAAGGAGTTATGGCCATTTTAAAATATGGATTAATTCACACTTAAAAAGTGATCACAAATAATAGCTAAAAACGCTCTAAAGTCAATATTTAAGGAGTTATGGCCATTTTAAAATATGGATTAATTCACACTTAAAAAAGTGATCACAAATAATAGCTAAAAACGCTCTAAAGTCAATATTTAAGGAGTTATGGCCATTTTAAAATTTGGATTAATTCACACTTAAAAAAGTGATCACAAATAATAGCTAAAAACGCTCTAAAGTCAATATTTAAGGAGTTATGGCCATTTTAAAATTTGGATTAATTCACACTTAAAAAAGTGATCACAAATAATAGCTAAAAACGCTCTAAAG